AAAAGTGATTTAATAAAAAATCTCAGTTGATTTAAATTACTTGCATTTTTCATAAAAGCCATTGCATAAGAATGCATGTTTTTAAACAAAGAAGGGATAATAATTAATTATTTTTTCTGCAGAAGGCATTGATTCCTTCAGTACTAAATTTATCTCAGCGTGTAAATGCTTTCTGATACAAAACATACACAGTTTCTAGTTATCTGGTTTCTCTTTTATACCTCAGAAAGGGTAATGGTCATTTGGGAGGAACTGTGGGAAGCTGGAATGTAAATTCCTTATTGTAGATATTGCACATTTCTGACTCACAGTTCTTCAGTTGTGTAAGGAGGAGGTCTTCTTGTGGACTGTGATTATTTTTAAAAAACGAATAGAAATATAGGAAAATAAAGGTTTCCAGTAACCTACATTAGAAAACTTCCAGGAAGCTGAAAAATGGCATTTTATGCAAGTTATTTAATGAGCTCATTTATATGCTTTCAGAAAACCTGCCCTTAGTAAAATGTGAGTTGAAAATGACTGTTACTGTGGGTGAAAAGGCATCAGATAAGACCCCCATGAGTAAAGCTGCAGCCCGCGCTACTTTGCTAGTGTATCTCTGCTCCGACATGACGAGCATGATGGACTTTCTAACCAAGGCGTGGGACATTTTCGCCTCAGCCTGTACAGTCTTGTTAGGATGCTGACAGGTAGTATGCACCTGATAAAAGATTATATGAGGGAACTGGAATTAAGATAACTCATATAGAGGGCATTAGTATCTGTTACGTGTGGACAACTTTTAATTCCAGTGGTGGTGGCCAGTTCTAAACTCCTGTGTGAGGTCTTTAAGCGAAACCTTCATCTTGGCCAAGTCTGAACTCATATCATGAGTCTCATAATGAATGCTTTTTGGTTATGCTACTCCTGGTTCCTAGCATCATGGGCGTATAGGAAAATACCAACATTCATTAAAAACATTTTGTCCCTCATGGACATGGGGAAAAGTATGAGTATATTGCCTGAGGGTCAGAAAACACAAAGTAAATTACTAGAATCATAAAATGATTAAAAAGAAATAAAAAAAGTAACTTCATGAATTTCTGAATAATGTTGGGAGATTTGTATTACCATATTGCCTGGAAGCACTTGTCATGGACTATAACCCTTCTGAGTGAGGGTTTGTGTGGATGTAGAAGAAAAGGCAGTCTTTGCCACAGGGGCAGCCTGCATTGTAAGTATTAGGGAAATAATGAAATAGTAAGAGCAGACAGGGGAATCTGTATTTTCTGGCCTTATAAATAAAAGTTTTAGCATACCAGTAACCTAATTTTTGTTCAGATCTTTGTAGGCATCAAGGCAAAGGAGAGTTTGAAGGAGATTAATGGGATGGTTTTGTTGCTAATACTCCCATGTTAGGGGCAACAAGGGGAAAACCACAGTCTTGGTTGAAAGTTTAACTAGAGCTGAAGCATCTCAGTACTGAATGAGAAATGATGGGCAAGGTGGAAATAAGCTGTGAAAGTCTTTGAAGGTGAAGATAAGCCATTTATGTTTTATGCAGTAGAAAAGGGGGCTCATTGGAGGAATACAAAGAGGTAAAATAAATTGAATTATATTTGTTGCAGGATTGTGATTAGACTATCATCAGAACAGGCTTGCACTGCCTAGAAAAGGAATTGAAGGATGAGCTGATGATAACTGAATGTTTAAGTTGGATGGATATGAAATTAGTTAAACTTCGGGGTTTTTTTTTAATTTGCAAAATTACTTTCTAAGGCTTATACTGCATTTTGAGGAGAAGGTCTAAATAGGCCTGAGTCCAGTGTAACACAATAGTTACTGGTCCTGTGTAGCAGGCAGAGTGGAGGTGGTGGTTAAGGTTTGCTGGGGGTATGCACAGATCTCTTATTTCAGCTTACAGAGTTTGATGTACAGGTCACCCCTGATGGGAGTCAGAAATCTATGCCAAACACTCCGTGTGGACAGAAGGAAACAAATAGGAGGTAGAGAAACAGACCTGTGAGTTATAAGCATGGTCAAATTTGTGTTTGCACCAGTAAAACAGGTAGGAAGAAGAGGTCTTGGCATGTGGAGGAGGAGGAGAAAAGGCTGATGCCCAGCAGGATTCAGGTGATTGCTGGTGAGGTGAAAAATGTTATGCGTGGCAAGTGAAAACCAAATTGAGAGGATAATACAGTTGATCCATAGTTGTGTGTTGAATGAACAGGGAGAATGAAGAAACTTCCAGGTCAGGTAAAATCTCAGATTTTGAGGAATATTTGTTGTGTTTGTTATAGGATATAGAACATGCTATAATATGTGTTGCATATAATAATTATTGTGATATATTTATTTTAAAAAATGGGTAGGAGGGAGAGATGAGACCTACAGGAAATGTGAAGAGGGAAGGGTCAGATGGGTGGTAAGTAAAGTCACAGAAAAGTGAGAAGTCAGACAGTAGGTAACAGCAAAGGGGCCAGAAGCAGCCATTTTTGGAGGAGAAAACCCAACACCCTAAAGATATGGAAGCCGTTAAGTCTTCCATTTGCAGTTCTTTGATTATGTTTGTATTACTCTTGTACAAACAAGGCCTTTTTGCTCTAAAGATTAGTTGATTAATCGGGTTCCTACCTGTTTCACAACTTACACAGATCCATGTCTTGCTTGCCTTCAGCGAGCGTTTTTACAGATACTATATTCCGCTCTTAAAATGGCTGTTCACACTGAACAAAAACAAATACAGCAATACATAACATCCAAACCCACTCAGAAGTATAATATTTTGCAATATCAGTACGTTCAACAGTTATTTGGTCTTCACAAAAGAACCAAACCAGGTGTCATCCGTTCTAAAAAGCAGCACACCCCAAACATTCAAATACCCTGGACTTCAAATATGCTAACACATTAATATTGCTATGTCAAGCACTCAGGAGCTGGAAGAGTTAGATATGTTTATTTACTACATATATTTATTTACCTTAATTTGTCCTTCTTGATCAGAGAGTAGAAATTTTAAGAACAGATTTATATGTGAAGTGATGATGCATGAAGTAACCAGCAAATATATCCAGACTTCTTCACTGAACTTCAGCTCTTCTAGTCAACACGTGCTAGACTCCCCCTAAGCTCCTCGTTTCCCTTTATTTGGTCAGAGCTATCCATAGCATCTTGCTAAGGTTGCCTGTCATGGTTTAGTTGTTTAAAGCCTGTATTCCCAAAAGTCATCACAAGTTGACAGCTTTTCCCACCTAAGGTGCTAGTGGGGCTGAGGCAAAAGCTAGGTGCATCGCGGCTCCCTTTGGGAACACCTGCGTGAGATGAGTACCCACCGTAGAGCAGTGAGGCACCTGGTGAGACCAAGGTACTTCCAGCTTTACGGAGCTGCTGAACAGTGGTTATCAGATCACAGCTTCAACGTAGCCGCCTGAAGTTTGTCTACAGGTTTTTAGATCTAGCTATTGCCTTCATGGGCATATTAAATATCCAGAAGCGCTAGAATTCTGCTTTTTTTGTCCAAATGCGTTACCCTACCATCATGTTAATGAAGGGTCAATCTTTCGTACATCTACAGAAGAAGAAAATGTGTGGAAATAAATCTGAGCTTGCATTTCTGAATTATTTTTGTTTTATTTACCGTAAAAAAGAATGCTAAGAACAGAACTTGGTAAAAGCCTCACTTATTTTATGAAAAAAATTGTCTAAGCCCTGTGTGATGATGTGTTTTTGTGGCGTGGGTGAACCAGGCAAAGTACTGCATTTCACTAAGCTTTTTTCATACATGCAATAGCCACTGGTCGATAGTTACATAAAGCTGTGTCACTTAAATGGTGGCAGTTTTTCTACTAACATGAACTCATGACAGGGCATAATTTTTTTATAATGTTAAATCAGGTGTTTAAGAGTCCAAGATTGAATCATTTGAGTTGAACTAGGAGGGTGAACGTGCAATCTGTAGTGCCATCTGCTGGATTTTTAAGTAAGTGAAAAAAATAGAGTTTCCTACTACATTTACAAGTCATGTAAAATGTAACTGCATAAAGGTGACCCAGATCCCTGGGGTTTTTAGAAAATCTGTGCAGACGGAACATACATATGCAAGTGCAGCACTTTGTCACTTTTTAATCTTCAGTGTGTATGTGCAAATATTTCAGATAGTTATACTCTATAGGAATTTAAAAGTAAACCAGCAAAAAGTGATAACATAGTTTGTTAATCAAAAATTACATTCTTGGATCATAATTGTAATATCTGCCTAGTGGAGATGATTGCAGCAGTATAAATATACAGCTTGGGCCAGCTCAAAAAAACCCAACAACATTTTTTTTTACTAGTTTACACTGTCAATGTAAAATATTGCATATCCAAATGAAAATGTGGTACATGTACGACACACAGCTAAAGCCTTTTTTGTGTGAAATGCCTTTGAACAAAAAGGGTTAGAGGAACCCACCACATTTTCTTGAGGAAAAAAAAATCCAAATTAGAAAACTCAATATATGTTGTACTGTCCTACTGTAAAAGTAAACAGGTTAAGTCTTTCAGTGTACATATGAAAACTCAGTATTGGTTCTTGTCTTGCATTACCACTGGTGGTGCCAACATCTCATGTCCATGTGGTACAGTACTGAGGCTAATGCTTAGGAGTCCAGCAATTGAGTCATAGCCATGGTGCTGTGGTGTGCCTCACCAAGTAGCTCAGTCTTTTCCAGAATTTTAGCAACAGAAGGTATTTTTTTAGTCATATGAGATCTGGTGTGCCCAAAGATTCACCCTTTGTGCGATCTTTTTTTGATCACACACATATGTGCGACCTGTGTGAATGTGGAACACCAGCAGATCCAGCTTATGCAGGTAGACGCAGCTGTTTTAAGAGTGGTGTGAGGTCTGCACAAATGAAGTATGGCCATAATCTTGTTGGAGGAAGCTTATCCTTCAAGTTTCCTAACTTCTCGGTGCTATATTCTCAAACGTATTGTTGCATTTGTAGATATTTTTTGTATTGTTTCTCCACGAAGCGGAGAATGGTTTTAATCCTATGTGTGGAGAGGTCTTTCCTGCCCGGTAAGTGGGTTTACTACATGATAGAAGGTGGAGCAGTACTGAAGCCAGTTCCAAAGATACAGACACTTCTGTGTTTCTAGCAAAGGATGAAGTTTCATGCATAAATGTTATAAAGAGGTGCTCTTAGAGGTACACCAAGTTTTATTACGTTGAGACAATATGTTAAAGAAGGTAGATCTATTAAGCAAGAAGTGTAAGATGTAACTAAATGTGACTAGGATGATACAGAACAAAAATATTAAAATGTAAATACACAAATATAAAAATATTAATGATACAATGCTAAATATGTAAAATATGTAAACTTATGAGAATTTTAATGTTTTCTTACATCTACACCTGGAGGGATGTTTTTCTAATGAATTCGAAATTTTGTATCTAACAGTTCTTACTTATTTTCTTACGCAACAGCTGCTGATAGATTTTGTCGATTAAAGGATCAAATCTTAAGGAACAGATAAATAAATACATTTTCTCTCAGGTGGGATCAAAGATTTGCAGTTTCACATCAATGGACATTTAAACTGAGTCACAATAATGGTCATTAACTTTTATGCACTGTCTTCTAAAGTCATCACCTTAAAAACCCCAAACAGTGAACACAGAGCTTTTACAAACTAGTATTATCGGAAGGTATTTTTTGCAGTTAAGAATTCTTTTTCTACGGTAAAATATATGTTCAGTGAAATCTGTTGAAGATACCAATTTCAAACATAAATATTAATTTCAATAAGAAGAATAGTTGGTAGATTTTTTTCTGGTCAACATTTTAAAACAAAATACTGAATTTTGCTGTGTCTGTTACTGAGTTGTTACAGAACACATCTGGAAGGTGATTTTATCAATTATTTATTAACAGGCAGTATGAAATCTGAATGAATTAGATTTCATACTTGTGTCCTGATGTGCATGAAGACTGTAAGAAGAGGACACTTGCAGTGTGTTGCTCCTTCTGGCCATCTTCATCCTCCTCTATTTTTCACTTTTGAAGGAAAGTTTCTATGAAACGTCTTCATTCTGATTTATACATGTCCAGTGTTAAGTCCTGGAATGTTTTCCTCTATGGTTTTGTTCAAATACTTTGTTTTGTTTTTTCCCTTCCTTTGTCTTTGGTGGCTGGGTGGGAAAGGAAACCTCCCCTTTTTGACTATGCCATGACCTCAGTAGTACAACTAGCTGAATTTTGGGGTGCATGATGAAAAACGGTGTGGATATGTGCACATATTTCTCTTACATAGTAGCCTGGTTGCTTTCTGTTGGAGGTCTCCAAGCCCTTATATTACAAGCTGTTATGCAGTTTTTAACCTAACCTTTAGGTTCTTGTTTACATTTAGGAGTATTTAATAGACTTATATTCCCTTGCATCTGATGAAAATGTGCTCTATAGCACACAAGTCCAGACAGACAACATTGGTAGCTCTTGCCTTGTCCACTGATGTGGTCACTCCATCATAGAAGGCCACTAGGTTGTGGCCTTCAGGCAGGACTTGCCCTTGGTGAAGCCATGTTGTCTGTCTGTATATATTTCTGTAGAAGCTTAAATTTTGCTTAGTTGCTAGTACGTCCATCTGCCTCTTAGTGCACACAGAAGAGCAAGACATCATTGTATTAATACACTTCGTAAGCTTCATACAAGATCAAAAAATTTCAGATGCAGACTAATTGGAAAAGAACAGGAAGAGGTGCAGTGCTTGCTGTTATCTTCCCTTTCCAAGTTAGTAAAGAGCCAGAGCTTTAAGTCTTGCTGTAGTGAAGGGGAACTGAATTTAGTTTCCATGGTTCCATTTTTTAATAGAATATTTGATATAATAATAAATTTACCTACAAACCTCTCCATTATTTTATTGCATTCTTTAAGCTGGTTATTATGGAAATTCCTGAATGTCTTCAGTTGTTTTTATGCGTTATAAGTGAGCAGCTGTGTAAGATAAGTTAAATCATATGTGTAATCCAATAATGTGGCCAAAAGTATTATGTTTCTCCGGTATTTTGCCTAATTCTTTTGACCTACTTGTCTCATCTTACTCAATACTGCAAAGGTTTTTTAAGAAGGTTAGTAAAAAATAAAAATAAAACAAAAAAAAACCCTTTTCTGCTTCTGCCAAGTTTTTCATTAGCATAAAGCATTAAGTACAATGCATCATGTTTGTAGTGAGGGAGAATAGATTATTTTCCTTTGTAGCTTTTGCTGTTGCTGCATCCCCACTAGAACGTGCCCGTATCAAGTCATTGTTTTTAGTGTGGGTGCTGGTTGATTTATGTAGTTAAGGAGCAGTGATATTCCTGTCCAAATGGAATATGTGTGTTTTACCATGATTCTTGTTAGTGAAGTTGAATTATGTTTTTCTAGGCTTGAATGTCATCTTAAAGTAAAAATATCCACTTCACCAAAACAGTATTTCATACAAGTAACACTGATTACTTATATCTTAAAAGTCAAAACAAGTTCATCACACATACACCAAAAAAATCCCACATAAACATGGAATAGTGTCACTAGAAGTACATGGGTTAAATGGTGTAAGTCTCAATGCTAATTAAGCAATTAGGTAGCTCAGGGCCGGCAGAGATGAAGGATATCGTCAAGACCTCGGTAGACAACACACCTACTCTTACCATTTTTAAACTCAAGATTCCCTGTTTCTATCCTATTTATCTGTTCATGATTTTTTTAATGTTATCCATGGAGATGCAGATTTGAAGCAACATCTGAAAATGTGGGTGAAGAACCTGTAGGTTCCACATAGCATGGTGAAAAACCCGAGTTGTTAAACGTGCCCTACTGGACCCTCCCACTGAGGCTATCACCTGAGGTCTTTGCTCAAGGTCATGAAAAAAAGGTCAGAAGTTGCAGTGCTGTCCTGGGGCACTTACAGAAATTTTTCTTTCTTGTATGATTTGATGAGTAGTAAGATAGTTAACAGAGTTGAAATAATTATGATCCTTGTAATTAAGCTTCAGAGTGAGGTTTCACACTGACAGCTGAGCTCCTTGCTTGTTGCTGCAAAAAGGGTGATGCTGCTGTCCACTGGTCCTTTCCGTTTCTGGATTCAGAAGCCCATGTCCTGCCTTCCTCCCAGGTCTCGAGTGCCCTGCTCAGAGCAGACTGATTCAGGAGCAAAATGATGGGAAAACATTTTTTTTTCTGTTTTAGGAGAATTAATTTTCTGTAGGTTCAGATCCGTGTGTTAGCTCACTGAGGAGGACCTGGTGAATGTCAAAATCAGTGCCTGAAGAGCAGTAACTGCTTGCAGCCAGGAGCAGGAGAGGAGCTGGATTGCCCCTTTTGGAAGTGCCTGGACCTTTAGCTGGTTCCTCTCTGAAACTTCATCCTTGCCAACAAAATCTCATAGAAACCAACAGGAGAACATCTTTTTCCTCAAAGTTAATACCATAATGATAGGAAAGATTTTATCATTAAGTATTTAATTATTATTATTCCTGACTTACAGAAGGGGAAGTGAAGGCTTAGAGGGCTGAGTTCTCTTCCCTGAGCTCGTGATTAGAAGCTGGGCTTTCAGGTAGCAGGACGCTTTCAGCCAGCTGGTGGGCACAGTGTCAGGCTGTGTGTTATTTGGGGCAGCTGGCGGAGAAGTGCTACTTCTTTGAACACTCGTCTTCATCTTAGGAATCTATATACCTGCTGATACTCCTATAGATTCCTACAGCTAAGCTGGAAAAAATGTCTGCAATAACAGACAGATGTAGTCTCTTATACTTAACAGGAGAGAATGCTACAGATTGTTAATATATAGATTTGGCATAGAAAATTGTACTCACATTCTTGTAGGGCCAGTGTGATTGTAGAGTGCCTGTTAAAATGTTTAAGTTATATGTTGTAGTAATTTAGATTTTGAAAACAGAAGTGTGACACTGTAACTGAAGATTGATTTATTTTTTTTAATTACACCTGCTGTATAAATAATGTTGATTTAAAAGCAATGCAAATTTACTTAGGCAATTCTATTTCTGCTTTTATTGTGTACATGGTAGATACTTCTGTTTAAGACTGCGTATTTTTTTCCATCTTTTTATAACTGGATAAATTTCTGGTGAAGTGAAATGATTTGCTCATGAGCTTTGAAGTAAACCTAATAGGAATACATACACCTGTTATTTTTTTCTTTTAGATTTTCCTATACAGTCTTCTATGTGCAGTGCGTATTTGATATGAGGTGAGGTACATTTATTATTGTGAATGTGCCAAGAATATTAGGTAGAGTTATAAATTGAAAGAAAGAAATACATAGTAGTAGTATTTCCTCCGATTCTTGCTATATAAACTTTTTTCTCATCTGTGCAGGAGGTTGCATCAACAATTTGAAAGCTATAAAGAGCAAGTAAGAAAGATAGGGGAAGAAGCCCGCCGTTACCAGGGAGAGCACAAGGATGATGCTCCAACATGTGGAATCTGTCATAAAACAAAGTTTGCAGATGGTTGTGGCCATTTATGCTCTTATTGCCGGACCAAGTTTTGTGCTCGATGTGGAGGTCGTGTCTCTCTGCGATCAAACAATGTAAGTCTTCTGGTGTGTACTCTTAAGAAAAAGCCTTCTTGACATTGTTGCGCTGCAGATTGTTTACCTTAAGTTTGGCATTTCATTTGTGCTCGATGTGGAGGTCGTGTCTCTCTGCGATCAAACAATGTAAGTCTTCTGGTGTGTACTCTTAAGAAAAAGCCTTCTTGACATTGTCGCGCTGCAGATTGTTTACCTTAAGTTCGGCATTTCGTGCTTCATTTTACTTAAGTGTTTCATTCATCACTTTGTTATGAGTTGTTTATAAGGTAGAATAATGTATTTAATGATTGTGGAGATTCTTAGGCATCACAGAGTTAATAATAAAAAAGAATCTGTAGTGTATAGTTCTACTGAGTGATGGCTTGAAGAAAACATACTTGTTTTTCATAGAATGAAAGAAGAAACCCTTTTGCTCAAGTACAACTCCACATTGATAAATTTTTATTGAACTCTTATTTCATTTTTGATTTCTTTTTTCAGAGAGCTATCATATACATTTACAGATTTCTTTTACATAAAATCTGTTAATTTTTTGGTTAGAAAAAAAGCCCAACCACTTTTCTTACCACAGTGAGAAAGTTATGTCAATTTATTTTAAATTTTAAATTAAAATTAAAATTAAATTTGATTTTTAAAAAGTAAAACTATAGATGACTCTGGACTAGGTATCCTACTTTCAGGCAGGTGAGATAGATAGGTAGATGAATTTTTCTCCCTCTGATCCTCATGCAGTTAGCTGAAGTAGCTGTCCACCAAACTGAAGGGTATCCAAAAATACCCTCTGTTCAGTCAGTCCCTTCAAGGAACTGGCTACTCACTTGTACATGAGCGGTAGGATCTATATTTGGAAGACCGTTATCCAGTGATTATTTTTGGCTGATCATCTAGGACTATGGTGTGTTATAAAACATTTTGCAAATATCCTTTTATTGCATGAATAGTTTTGTTATCTATCATGAGATGAGATAACTTTCTCGTATGGCTTTAACGTGCCAGTCTTTTGTAGGGGAAATGCTTCCATGCTCTTTGTATCAATACAAATTCAGTTAAAAGTGTTAACAAATTTTGTAGCAGATAATCATATTCGCAATGGAACTAGTTTATGGCCTCTTCACTTTCTTCGAGCTAGATATCAACTGAATAGGGCTTTTGAAATTCATGTAAACAAACAAAAAAAAAACCCAGCAAACCAACCCTCAGAAGAAAATGCATTTCATCTTTATTTTGGAGGTTTTCCGTAGCCCTGATGTACTTGTGAGTCCAGTAAATTAAATATACATTCTGAAAAATTCTGTAGGTGTGTTGGACAAAATTTTTCATGTATTCATATTTTAATATAAGTAGATGCATTACATTGCATCACCTGCAGGTGGTGTCATTAGAGCAAGTCTATGAAAATATAGTTTACTTTGATATGTTACGTTATACTGTTAATTAGAGTGCATATGATACAGCTTATCTTTACTCTGAAAAAACCTGAATATATTTTATTTTTCACCCACCGTTTCAAGTAACAGAAATTGAAAACTGTCCATTCATTTGTAACTTGCTTTCTGTTTGTTCTATTGTTTGTACTTCTGTGGGTTAGGGTGGGAAAACATGTCTTCTACATATGCAGTAATATCATCTTTTTATTTAAAGCTCTTTTTTTTCTGAAAATTTTATGTTTTTATCTCTTTGTAGAGAGTTATTAGAATTGCATTTCTTTGAAATCTGTCTATTAATACTTGCCTATTTTATTCTTTTTCTCTTATTTTTTTCTTTTCTCTTTTTATTCTGCTTCCTTGGATGCTTTCCCAAAGGAGGACAAAGTGGTTAGAATCCATGCTTTTTATCATTTATTATTATAATGTTGTTAGTTAACTGGGAAACATATTAATGCAAAAAAAAACTGAACTGAAATTTTAAAATCATCCAAAGGGGAGGGGGAGAGAACAGGAATCCTAACACCCAGGCCCTGCCCATCCCGTAGCTGAACATACGCTTCAAAGATGCCCAGCAAGGAAACCACAGACTGTTGTCAAAATTAGGACAACGAAATAAATTAATTAAGAATTATTAATAGGCTAAAAAGTAGTGGAGGTAATAAAGTGTAATAAAGCTGTATTGCATAAAAATGTATTTGGTTAGCAATTTGACTTTTTGCATGCAAGGTCCTTCCATCAGCTTCAGGAAATCTAATTTAGTATTTTAATTGTAATTTTGCATTGATTTACATGGCTTGCTGTGTTTCACTTCTGGCTGCAGCAGAGATTCAGGGAATTCTTGTGAAATCAGCTTTTTGGTTTACATTTGGAATAATACGCATAGGCAAAGTGTAACCTCTTAAAACTGGACGTAAGTATAGAGAACGAGATGGAGTGAATCCTTTGTGAATTCATAGTTGGCATTTGAAAAATCTGCAGAACTTTCAGGATCAAATACTGGCATATTCACCACTAATGCCTGTGCCTTATCTGAAATAGAGGAGGGTAGTTCCCTGTTCATCTCTGCGCCTTGCGCGCGGAGGAAGGGGCGGCAGTACTTGAGCAGAGCAGTGCATGTCCACTTACCACCTCTTTTCAGGCAAGAGGCGATATTCCAGCTTCTAACTTGGAGATTTAGGTAGTGGGAATTATCCAGCTTTGCTGGCACTTCAGCTGAAACGAGCGTAAAATCATTGTAATCCAATGTAGTTTTTGACATGTGGATGACGGTGTTATGCTTGTATTATGAAGTGACAGTATGCCCCAACTTACATGATAGCATTGCTGTAACCTGCAATTTAGTACTGTGCAACACCCAGAAAAGATTACTTCTATCAATCACACCTGCACATTGCAGTATTTTTTTTCTAAGGCAGTAGTGTTCTGAGAGCATGGTTGCTTTTCAAATGGCTACGAAATATAACTTGCTACAGCTTCATCCCACTGTTTTCTGCGTGGTGCTGAAGAGGTGAACAAAGTGCTGAAATAACCCAGGACTTCCAGATCTTTTCCATTCTGTTCATCTAACTCACTTAGGATAGAGGGAGAGAAGTTTCAGCTTGATACTGATTTCTTACTAAAGCAGTCCATCGTTGGTGCATCCACTGGGGTGTATTAAAAGGCTAGTGCACTTGCAACAGAGTTTTCTGTAGGGCCAGAAGCAGTAAAGCTTTTAAGTGCCGAAAGTGCCGCTAAGGTACAATTTAGCCACGTAGGTTTTGGAGAGCCATCCAGGTGAACCTCACCTGACCTGCTTATATGCTTGAGGTATCCTTCACACTTCAGTTTGGAACAAAAACTTTGCTAGATAACTGAAATTGTGATGGTGTCCGCATGCAGTGGAGATTGTGTCTTTGATGAGGCAACAGTTTAGGTGTTCATCTTTGAAAAATGTATTTGGGATCCCAAAAATAGATTCCATTGCACTAAAGTGCTCTGAAGGTATGAGTCCTGAAGACATACCTGACCCATTTGGATTGTCCTAAGTTCAATTAAATATATCCTTATTGTTTGCACTTGCCTTGGTTTAGGTTTTGCTGTGTTGAACTCCAGACTTCCACATGCCAAGAAAATACCGTAATAATATATGTGAGAATATCTTCTATACCTTATGATGAAGCTGAGCTACATCCCTTTAACAGCTGAACAGTCATGGGAGTCAGAGGAAGAGTGTCCAATAATTTGTCCTGATTGTGTGAGGAACATTGGGAACTTTTTTATAAAGTACAGTTGCTTTAGCAATTCCTGTCTCTGAAAGCTAATGGAATATATAGAATTAATTCTTTCCAAAATATTAAAACAGACCTAGCAAATAACATCTTCTATAAGCAGAACAATTGGTATAATTTATAGAGAGCAACATGAGAAAAATAGTATTTATTATTTTCAGTGGCTCAAAATTTCTGACTAATGTAAATATAGGGACAAACCTTTCTTTATTTGGTGAGTTTAATGTTAGTAAAGACTTTTTAAACATGTTTGTATGAGCCTTGTTCTCTCCACAGGAATTTTTACCACAATAAATTATATTAGTATTAGAACACATGCACCAAGTTCCTACAAGTTAGAGGTGCATCAGTTGGAAAGGATAATGAAGTGTGAGTTACCAAAGTGCCAAGCCACAGAAAAGTCAAGCATTATCCTAGATTCAAGGATATTGTTTTTTGAATACCTAGATTTGACGTATTTCCTGTAGAGTTGGAGAATTGGTATTAATGAGACCTCTCCTGGGATGCTGTGTACAGTGTGTTACCCATCTTTGACAAATACAAACTGTGATAGGCACAAAGGGAGTCATACAGAGGATGATCAAAGAAATGGAGAGCTGCTGGTATGAGACAAGACTAGAGAGATTAGGGGGACAAAAGCTACGGCAATTATAATTGATACCTGGAAGTAGAGAACTGGTATCTAGAAGTACAGTAATTTTAAACAATAGGAATAACCTTCAAACTAGAGGACTAGTGAAGACATAAGACTGAATAGGTGTAACTTGGCCATAAATGCTCTTGTCTTGGAAAAAGATTTTTGCAATCAGTTGAGTAAAGCCTTGGGAAATTTTTTCATGTGACTTACTGGAAGGAAAAATAACCCAGTAAAATTCTAAAGGCTAAATTTGATAAGTTTAGGAAAGGATTTATGTGATGTGGTTGCTTGTGGCTGTAGGGGAATGTATTAGGTCCTTAGGAGGTCCCTTGCAACTGTATGGGGTACAGATAATGTAATACTTTGAAGCTGTTCTTGATCTTTTCAAGTAAGTACCTATATATATTAAGGACTGTTTGAAAAATATATAGCAGAACTTAATATGTTCTCTCCTGCTTTAAAATAAAGGACATCCCACAACACTGATTCCTTGTAGTGTGAGTTAGTAGGCATCCTAGGTTTATCAAGAGATGACACCAGTACACTTAGAAAATTAATTGGGAATAACTGGTACATCCTAGTGGCTAATGGGGCACATAACTTTCAGTGTTTCTTATTCTAATATGCCAAAACACTTACCTAAATATGTGTCTTAAGTTCTTCCATGTTTTTTGAGTATTGGTCAGCTCTTCATACTTCCTACTTCATACTAAGCCTGCTCTCCTTTCATATGATTGCAGGCAGACCACATTTAATGGGAGCATTTTCAGATAAGAGGACTGTTAGCTAGTTTGGTTATTCAAATCAGACTTAAATGTAGTTGTGCAGTGAGAATATTCAGTATTAATAATGTTAGTAATAATATCACAGAATTACAGAATCACAGAATCATTAGGGTTGGAAAGGACCTTCGAGATCATAAAGTCCAACCATTAATCCAGCGCGACCATGTCCCCTAAACCATGTCCTGAAGCGCCACATCCACACGTTTTTTGAACACTTCCAGAGGTAGTGACTCCACCACCTCCCTGGGCAGCCTGTTCCAATGCTTGACCACTCTCTCAGTGAAGAAATTTTTCCTAATATCCAATCTAAACCTCCCCTGGCACAACTTGAGGCCATTTCCTCTCATCCTCTCACTAGTTACTTGGGAGAAGAGGCCAACACCCATGTCACCACAACCCCCTTTTAGGTAGTTGTGCCATTGGGTTTGAAAACAGTTGGCAGTTGTAAGATGTACAAAGTCTTTTCTCTTCCTTCATATTACCTTAGTATTCAGAAACAATGTTATGTCAATATGGCAACCTATTCACTGGGAGCACCGAGCATTTGCACATGCTTTTAAAGAAAGCTGAATATTATTAGTACAGGATTTTACGTGAGACAGCATTTCAGAAGGAAGCCATGTAGGTGCTTAGAGAAAAGCTAGCAGGAGCGACCACTTGCTTTTAATTTGGCACAATATTTTCTACGTGTTGTCAGTTCCTTACAGAGTGTCTACACTTTCACGCTGGATCCTTCTAGTTCTGTTCCGTACACCAGCATTTTAATTGCCAAAATAGTCATGGGTTTAAGTTACTTCTCTCCATTCCATTCAGTCTCGCCTCCGATGTGAACTGTTGGGGTTGTTCGGCCAATGGAGAAGCCAGCAAAATGTCCGGCCGGCGCTTCTCCGTGATTTGGCAAGGAGTGGGCAGAGCCCTGGCTCAGTCCTCCTGGTGGCCTGGCTGCCATTGCTTGCTCTGTTCTTCCCTCCAGTGGTACCACGGCCTTGGAGAGCAAAAACCACCTGAAAATATGACTCTTTTCATTGCATCATTCCTGTAAGACTTTTTCCTATTGTTTGGTTATAAGATGCACTTCCTTTGTAAACACGTGACAGAGGAAGTTGTACGGCCCTGTTTCTTTCTCCTTATAGAAAAGGAGATACATTTTAGGGTACCAAAGTAGTCTGGAATGAGCGAATGCTGTTTCTTTGAATCAAAATTAAAGTATTTTGTGAGGTGCTGTGGGTGTATTGAACTAAGTGACATTTGTATGACATATTCACAGAATTAGGGGGAAGATCTGTGTTCCAGAGTAAGCCATATATTTATCCCCAGCAATCGATCTACCATGCTACAGATATCATTGGGATTACAATTTTTGGTCATATTTAAAATGAAAAGAACTGAGAGCAAATGATGCAAAATAGTTTTGTCACGATTGTCCTGTGTTTTGCAGAAGTGTTAGCTGTGCAGAACAGAGCAGTTTTCTTTCTTACTCATTTTTCTGTTTACATAAGTAAAGGACAGCTGGGAGGAAATCAGGATGTAAAATACATTCTAGATATATGAGAATTGATTGAACTGAACTTAGTTATATGTGACTGCAGAAAGTGATGTTGATTATCAGTGCTGAAATACTAGAGATTCACATTTCTGATTTGGCTTTCACTGACAGTATTTTCATTTTAGTATAATGTCAGTGATTTCTACTCTGAA